GTTATCGACAATGTCACCCTTCATCTATGAAAAGATACCCCACCATAGAATCGAGTTAACATGTCTTATATACTAGTGAATTGGAATTATAATTTTTGTAGTGGTAGATACTCTACAGTACTCCCCCACCAAAATTATATCTGTGATAGAATTCGATGAACGGATACCACTGCTGTTTTGTGAGAAGCCGGGAGAGCTGTATTAGGATCACCTACTTTTTGAGTGCTGATAGTGAGAGCTGTATTAATTTCACGGACGTGGTCGCTCCTGTGTTGCCTTTAGCAGTCGAGTGTATACGTTGTACGTTGTGTGTGATCGAAACTGAGAAGCAAAAGGGTGGGGAGGACAATGTTGCAGTCACAAGTAGCAAGTCAACTGTTCAATGTGGACCATCCATCTAAGTAGTCCTGTTCAAATAGCAGTGGGCGTTTCGGCCAAAGTAGGCGTGTTCATATCACGTTCGGGTCACCAATGTGGGGATTGCAGTTATCGACAGTGTCAACCTTCATCTATGAAAAGGCACTCCAACATAGAATCGAGTTGACATGTTTTATATACTAGTGGATTGGAATTACATTTTTGTAGTGGTAGATACACTAAACTCTAAACTAAACTCAGCGGCGCGACAGCCCATAGAGGGCCAAGGCCTACTGTGCCCATCTCAGTTTTCTTGACCTTTGGGCTCTGGGGTGCAGGAGCAGATGTTCCAGTTAGGTGGGCAGTCGAAAGCGAAACCCCCAGTGTTTAGTTCCCAAGCATGCTTGGTACTCATTTATCGACCCAATGAAGGGATGAAAGGCTGAATCAACCTTGCCCGGCCCGAGGTTCGAACCAGGGACCTGTGGCACGACAGCGCGAAGCGCTTCCTCTCTGCCACCGGGCGTCAGGTAGATACACTACAAACAAATATCTTTAGAATCCAATGCTCCCAATTTTTTTCGGCTATGAAATAATAAACGATCGAGTTTCGTATCATAGAACCCCCAACTTTTAAAAAAAGTAAGATAGCAGCAAAGAATATGCTAATCAAATAATTAAATGAATCAATAAATAAAAACTACTAATTAATTTGAAAACATTTAATGCGCAGAATGAAATTCTGTCATTGTTTCATCAAAACAATCTTAAAATAAGGTTTTATGTTAAGCATTTGAATTCGCAGGTCCGCAGTGGCTTTAAATCTAATAGTTTTTGACTTATGCATGAATTGAAATTAAATAAAGTAAGCTGAATTATGGTTTTTCAAAACGAACTGTTTTAGACAGAATGAATGGTTATCACATAAAAAAAAATAATTCTTGAATTTGGTTATTTTATTGTGAATTTTAAAGTTCAATGAGAAATACTGATGCAAGTATTTGTAAATGCACATCCTTTTCGTAATTAATTCAATACATTGTTGTTGTTTTTTTTAAATTTTGCTAAGTCTTTTTTTTCCATTGGCGTTTAATTTAAATAATTTCGTAAAAATAACTGAAATATTAAATAAATAAATGATTTGTTGCATATATACATCTTACAGTTATCATCAGTCAATACTGTTAAAAAAAAAAAAGAAATCTGTACTTATGAAACCCATCTGATCTGTTCCCAGAACTCTAGAGTTCCATGGAACACCTTTTTGAAACCACTGCCTTAGAAAACGCAAATTGTACTAAACCCCAGATCGGATCGTTACGCAAGAATTTATAAATAAATTCATAAATCCTTTTATGAACTATTAATGGAAGGGAGTACGTAAACTTAAAGGGTATATTCATTGGCTTATAATATGGTTAAAAGGCCTTACCCGTAAATGAGCATTTGGTGAGGGATTCAACTGACCCCTTGAACTCCTGGCTGTAATGGTCAAATCGTAGGTCATACCAGACACAACCTGGGAAGCTTCTCGAACATAGACATCACCAGTCAAATTGTTGATATAAAATAGTTTATTGGGATCACCCGCTGTGATCGAGTATCTGGATTCCGCACAGTCACATATGAGAGCATCTTGGGGACACGTAGAACCAAGATCTCCGTCGTAAGCCTGTGCTGTATATACAGTATCTGCACTCCATGAATCACTCACTATAGCCGTGTCTTCTTCCTTGTTGAATTCCGGTAGGTAATTGTCCACTATGTCAAAAATGAACAACATTATTATTCTGTTCTCAATTAAATTTTAAGAGTTTCAAATTATTATTTTAAGGGTATGCACAGTGGGCCAGCATTCAAGGTTTCGAGGTCAAAATTAGTATTTCGATAAAAAATGTTTCAAAATTTGGGGGGTTTTATTTAGGGGATTTCAAGTGCACGTAAATTGAATTGATAGTTGAAATTTTGAAATACACTAAAAATACACAAAAAAAACAAAAAGGACGGCTGAAATATGGCGGGCAAAAATAAAAANAGATTTCGTGGCCAAAATTAGTATTTCGATAAAATTTGTTTCAAAATTTGGGGGGTTTTATTTAGGGGTTTTCATGAGCAGGTAAATTGAATTCATAGTTGAAATTTTGAAATACACTAAAAATACCCCCCCAAAAAATGGCGGCTGAAATATGGTGAGCAAAAGTTAAAATAATGTAGTATGTTTAAATAATTAAATATAGCAATGAAAATTTAATGGTTTTCGTTATTAAAAATGAAAAGTAAATTATATTTCCGAAGTAATATTACAAAATAACGCGAATTAATCACAAAATAACGCGAAAACATGAAAAAAAGCATAATTTTTGTTTTTCGGTATATTTAGTCCACCTTTGCAATCCGTGCAAAATGGGGCAGGTTTTTTCGAAAGAAGAAACATCAAAGAAGACAACAAAAAAAAAAGTTTAACTAATTACCCCGTGGAACTTTTTGGAACTAAGTTTCGAAAGTCATTCAAACATTGCAAAATATCAAATGATAGGATATAAACTATAAGTTTGTCAAGAGTATTAACTAATCCAACAAATTGAAAAATTGTACTATAATTTCAGTAACATGTAACAGTAAACTGAAATTCCTATATATATTACTGAAATAAAAATTTTTAAATAAAAGATTCTAACATATTTTTCATTACATTGTACTCTCGTCGGTCCAAAAAGTAAATTATAATATTTGGAATAATAGTGAATACTTAATTTGGGTTACATTAAAACTGCCTACACATATTTTAGTTGAAAATTTCATTTTCTACTTTTGGTCAAAGATCATGGTCTTCTGGCCCCACAGTGGTATGGAATGGGAATTATTATAATGAGTGAAATAATTTTTAAGATAAATTATTAGAAACTGTGATATTTTTAGTCTTCCTCGTTCTGTTTTCCATGCCTCTTTGATAGAAACCTACTAATCTTAAGAGGACGCCATACAGAGGAAGAAAATTTTCCTCCCAAATTCACTTCCTCCTTCATTACAATTTTAAAATTTAAAGTGTAGAAAAGGTGATAGTTAGAATTACGCAATGGTGAAGTTATCTTCTACTAATTTGTTTGCATTTTAATATTTTGAAGTATTTCTTTTTTGGCAATTGAACCTTTATGGGATACTCTAGGTTTGTTTGAACTTACATTTTCTTTCCTTTAAATTAGCAATGAAGGAGAAAGAGAATTTGCAACGAAAATTTTCTTCCGCTGTATGGCGTCCTCTTAAAACGGTATTAGAAGTCATTAAATGATAGAAAAATATATATTGAGTTAATATGAAGCACTATCTTTATAGAATCATAGATTAAAATTTGTCTGCTACACCACTTAGTTATTTTATTTGATATCCGTCATTGAACAGCCGACCCATTTTTTGGGTTTACGACTACTGATGTTCAACTCCGTAGCCTTGTAATTTTGAACCAATACAGAAGACAAGGAAACTTCTAGATCAGTACCCTCAGAAGTATTGATTTGTTATGAGAACATGGAGGACTTTGCGACTCGACAGATTCAACGTGCATCAGTCACCATTTACTACACGGGGAGTTTTCGGCCGGTGAGGATCGAACCCCCGACCTCTTAGGCATGGGCCCAGTGCCCTACCAACCAGGCTATCCCGGCCCCACACCACTTAGTTAGAAAGAAACTATAATTGTAAAATTTAGATAATTTGCGGTGAAAAGTGATCAGCAAATGCTATCCTAATCTGCAGCACGCGATGCCGTGCTGCAGAATTTCTACTACCAAATTTACTACAAGTGCCGTATTTACTACAAGTATAGGTCTAAAAAGTATAAAAATTGCTGGCGTTGGCCAAAATTGTAGCTTTAACTCCTTGATCCAATATCTATTTTACAAATTGAATGTGTATTTCAAGCTACTTTATCATTTGAAATTACTTTCATACTCTAAAATATAGTCTAACGATGTTAGAATCATAATCAAACTTTACAAAAATCAAAAGAAATATATAGATATATATATAGCACTCCATGAATCACTCA